AAATGTATGCATGCCCACTACTTAGTGGGGGCATATCCAATATGAATGCTAGATTCTGTCAGGTTAACATGCCCTTAAATGCCAGATCCTGTCAGGTATGCACTAAGATGCCAGATCCTGTCAAGTATGCACTAAGTTAGTGGGGGCATGTCCACTATGAATGCCAGATTCTGTCAAGTTAACATGCCCCTTAAATGCAAGTACACTGTGAATGCTAGATCCCTCAGGATAAAATCTGAACTTTGATATCATAGGAAAATTATGCATGTAGGCTCGATACAAGACTTGTATCCAACATAAAACCAATTAACAATAAGTAAAGTGTCATTTTTTATATTTAACCTACAAGCTTTTTATTTTTATATTTGATGTGGGATTTTTTCATTTAACATTCATGAGAATCCAAAGAACAAAAGCTCATTTTCTAGGCAAATTGTACATAATTTATGTTCTGTAACTTACACTGCATTAGGTGGAAGAAGCTATTATTAACAGTTTTTTTGTTTTTGTGGCAGTGGCTTTGACTTCAGATTTGATCTCAACTGCGGGAAAGACAAACATACTCTATTATTTTGCATATAGAAGATTTTTCTTTTCCCTTCCCCAGATGATTGCCTACATACATGCATATAAAGACAAGGTAATCAATTTTTGTTTCTCCAAATGTTTAACTTGAAAATTACTAATGTTAACCTCTAATCTACATCACAAAATGGCAAGACCATGAAGTGCTTGTCTTTTTAATATTACAAAAAGAAGTTGGAGTTTTCAATAGCTAGAATTTTGGTTTTGAAGTGAGGTTTTATTAATTTTGAACTTTTTACTCATAATAAATAATTAAGTATTATGGGCAAAAAGTTAAGATTGTAAACATGTTTTATCTTGAGTCTCAAAAGTTACAATAAAAAAAATTTAGAAGTCGAGAAAATTGCTTTATCCTTAAAAATTTAGAAAAAAAAATTAATTAATTAAAATTGAGAAAGTTGTCCACTCCTAGATCTTAAAAATTAAAAGAAAATTATTGAAACATGAAAAAATTTCATACCCGCATGCTACCCTTGATCATAAAGTAAAAACTTTTTTTTTTTAAAATTTCTTATAATGAAAATATATTTTGTAGTTCAAAATGTATTAAATTACAAAATACAAACTCTTGAATAAGAAGCATGCCGCTTGATACTAAGCATATTGTTCGATATTAGAAGTCTTTCATCATCTAAAGATATTTATTTTACAATTTAATATAATCTAAATTGTAAAAAAGTTAATTATTTTTTATAATTTGTTATCTATTTTATTCCAATAGGTAGAACAAAAGACAGACCCCTAACACCTTAATTTAGAGTTAGGTCCTTTGATATTTTCC